ACGAAAAAATTTATATTAGAATTGAATGCGGTGAATATTTCGTGAGCCACAATCTCGTTACATGAACGTAATTTATATACGAAATTTTGTACATGTAAAACAGTTGAATGGTAATACCTGAAGAATTAAAATATTTGAAAATATATCAGAAGTTGAGAACTGTAAAATCTTGTAAAAAAAACACAAGTTAGCATGCCACTTTCAAATAAAATAGTTCACTGATGTGGCGTTAACAAATGTAGAACATTGCATGCAAAACGAAACGTAACCAAAACAGGTTACGACAAACTTTGAAACTAGAACACAGTAACATTTTAGGGGGTGTAACACGTAATGTGTAAGGTTAAGGAGTTTAACTCTTTGTCATATAGCTACTTAATTTGGTGTTAAATTATCTTCAGGCCCTATTCAGATCATCGGTTGTCATTTTATTGACAGCTTTTTTATTATTCTATAATCAGTGATGGACATCATATATTTTGGAAATATATCAGTTACGTTCCCAATAATTGCCACTAGCCAGTCTTAGAGTAAAAATTATACAAATCTATCAGTATAATAACAACCAGTCGCCTAAAGACTCCTTGACAGACATATCCGTCGTCTGTGCCAAACACACCCTAGGCAATGGACATCGTGTAACATAATATCGTTACAATGCCAGTAAAGTTGGAACAGATATTTTGGCAATAAAATTTTATTTACCAGTATGCCCCATTTTGATGTGATTCACATTTAAATATTAGGAATCTTAGCACAATGTATGCAAGCGATTTTCTTTGAAAAGACATCAGTATTTTAAGATAACGAATTTTGTTTCCATTTTCAGGTAAGGCTGATGACTTGCTTCGTTAGTGTCTTATTCTGTTTACCGTTTTTTGCACTTACAACTAAAGACATTTATCCATGGTAAGTACGTATACAAAATACATAATTACAAATATTTATATTTGTTCGTGTCGTTGTAGGCTCTTTAGTAAAAAAATCCCGAGACTTTACAGAATTTTTTGTTTCAAATAAAATTTTTGTATATTAATGAAACTATGTGTTATATTTGGGGGGGTCAAGGCCTGTAACAGGCTGAAGAACTCGTGATGATGATGATGATGATGATGTTTTATATTATGTGCCAATATTTCGGACTGAGAAAATTTGTTAAATAATTATGTTGTTCTGTTTGCGTTCCATATAAAGCAAAGGTTATTGTGGCAAACGTTTAGTGTTCTTTCATTGCAGTACAAAATTTCTTCAAAATCCTGCTGAGTAATTCCAGAGATGAAACATGCAGGAATCTGGACTTGCACATTTTTAATAAATTTCATTAACATTGCGCAGACAACACATACAAATCAAAACTCCGAATGAATGCATTATCATAACAGAATTTATATAAACGTCGACAACTTTAATAATTCCCTGCTAAAGCACACATTCTCGCTGTTACAGTTTAAGCAAAGTTTGAATTTGTTTTGCTGGCAGTATGGTAAAAAATATATCGTTTCATGAATGAGCAAGTTGTTTATAACGACTTATCAGCCTCAAATTTATATTTGATTTTTTTTACGTTTTCATACAAAAAATCTGTTTCCCTTGAACATGTAGGATGTGATTAAATAGATATAATTGTTCTGACAACTCTTTTTTTTAATTCTGTTCAGCTTCCGCATTAATAAACTCCGGTTACAGAGGAAACCAAGCAGAATACACGATAGCATCATACACCGACTGTGTTCAGTTCCGTGGATATGCATGCAACCAACTTCAGTGAGGAATATTTGATAAAATTATCTGCACACAGTAAATTCACGAATAATTTTTTTATTTCTATCTACTAGGTTAGCTCAGGTGTATCGCACTTGAATTTTATGCCCCAAATACACAGTACAAATTTTTATTTACTTAAAACAGGCCGCTAAATATTTACTTTCCGATCATCTTCCTTTGTCATCCGAAATGTATTGTGTCCAATGTACTTTTTTCCGTAACTGGTACTGAGATAATTACACAAAGGAACGTTTTGTGTTATCTCATAACTCGAGAAACGTTGAACTGATTTTCACTAAATTTCTTATTGAATGTCCAATTCCTTTGTCCCTACAATGATCATGCGATTTATAAGAGGCACTAAAAAGTCAGCATTCTCGAATTTTAAATCTAGAACCAATGTCAGAGCTAAACCGATAGTATTTTTGCGCTGTAAATACATTTCGTAATTTTCTGAAATTAAAATTAGCAATATTGAACGTTGTGTTGGTTATACTGGTGGCACGCTGAGTAAGCTGTAGTCATAATCATTTTCTTTGTTTGTAATAACGTGTGAAATAGCATTAATTACTAATTTAGTCTTCTAAAGTTTGTGTGTCTTACTTTCTGTAGTTGACGCACGTTTCTACGCAAAATAAATACCATCTGTAAAAGAGATAGTTGACGTTGCTTTCGCAGCAAGCAAGATGTTTTAAAATTATCGACTCAAACTTTTTTTTTCGTTTCTAAACAAATTTCCACATGTTTAAATTAACAACTCATATGTTTACCTTTTGTTGGTTTTGATTGGCTCCTGCGTTGCTGTCTCGTGTATATTTGTTACAATTTGAAACTTCCAGTAAGCCACATTTAGCAACGTAAGATGTTATTTAAACGTTCTATGTCAAATCTTTTGCATGCTCACACGACTAGAAGTACTCACATATGTTTAACGGCGAAAACTCTTCATGGCCTGCTCATGTTGAAGGATTGACTCTGCTGTTGGGGCTAACAATCTTCTTGCCGGTGTGGGCATCTCGATGCAGTCCCACGCATGGCGTATCGACCGCTCTCCCACCCGGTGCGCTCCGCATGCAAACGGTGGCACTCTGCACAAATCAATGCGATTGCCGTGCCACCTGCAGGTCACATGACATAACTAACGTCTTTGCTCTCTGCTATTCAAACGTCTTTCATTCTGTGCCGCGTTACCGAGAAGAGGCAAATATGGTTTTGTTCATGTCCCAAAGACCATTCATTCTTAAATTTCGCATTTTTTTTTAATGATTCAAACAAGAAGGCGATTAAATGACTTGTTGAACATTGAGAGACACTTACGAAGTTACGGTCTTCCACTTAATTTCATAGCCTTGCACTCCATTTACTTAGCAATACAATTCTCCTTTCAGACATTTTCGTCTCCCATTAAAGTTGCCTCTGGTACTTATTAAGTGTCATATTTCTACTTAAATAAGAAGTTTCTTGGATGTTATCTATCGTCTAATAAAATAATAAAATTGAACGACGTTTCGGAGATGGGATTCTATATAGACGATGGATAACATAAAGGAAATTTTTATTTAAATAACTCCCCATCGTCACAAACGTTTATATTTGAGATATATTTCCACTGTTTCTTGACCTCGGCACTAGACAGAGGTGTTTGGTCAGCTTCATTCCCCAGCCGTATAAGCCAGATGAAGGGGTATCTCGTATTCATTGAACAGGAGGCTGTGTGGACCGCAGAGCGAGTAGGGGCGCGAAAAACAGAAGAAAAATCCTTTGACCTCGCCAAGAGTCCCTCTGGATTTTAAAGCAGTTTCATTTGTCTACGAAAGTTGAATATTCCACAGTGAGTTTGTTTGTCTGTCTGATTTTTTTGTTTTTCATCTCGTATATTAAGGCTGTACCTCTGTGCTTATGAACGTAGAATTCTGTGACCACATATGTCGCTAGACGCCTACAGTGAACATCGGACGGAGGGGCGCAGAATCTAATTTCTTATTCAAAGTTGAGGTTCAGTACCGTAATAGGGGAAGGTATTGATCACAAAGTGGAAGAATATTCAACTACTTCTTGATGTGTTTCCCTGTATCCTTCATCTCCGTTTCTTCACTCATTTATCCTGTTCCGGTCAGAAAGTTTCAGGCTGGACGACGGGCATTGGTTTCCAGATAGACACTTTTATCAAGTCAGCTCCTGTTCAACGAGTACTACAAGCTATTTACTCGGGGGATAATGTGATTAACCGTGAAGCTAACAACTCACTTTCACCCCAATCGCAGTGTAAGAAAGCGTGGACCTTCATTTGCACTCCCAGATGGATGTTAATGGCGTCGCGCTCAAGTTTACGAACAGATAAATTATTATCTTTCTGTTTCATGCTTTCACACATTCTCTCTCGGATTTGAGTTCTGCCGTATTCTTTCTTCGTAGTCCCATGCCCAGTTCTACACATACATCATTCATTTTCGTAGTTTCTTTCAAATTTTTTCTCTCTGTTCTCTTTTCACTACGTTTTTCGCATCGTTCTTACTTATTCCTTTTGAATTTTACTTCAAATTCTGTTTTGATATCTTTATCTCATCTACATTTGTTCTCTGTCATTCTGCCACTTTCAAGTGCGTATTAGCGACGTCCCCACCCTTGCTCAACCCCTCAAACTTGATGCTCGCTCAAACTCAATCAATAATAATCACTAGTTTATAGTCCGTAAGTTAAAGATAATGTACGCGTTGTTCGAACTGTTGAAAGTTACTTCGTAAGTGTCTACCAATGTTATCCGTGTATACGACTGAATTTAAAATTAAAAATCGAAGGAAGACTAATTGTGTGTAGTTTGGCATGATAATAGATGCTGTGCATAACAGATACAGGATACAGGACTGTGTGTTAGCAGAACATCGAGCTTCCAAACAAAGTACTTACGTGAAATGTGACATTAAATGTTTTTATTTTAATTTGAATTGCATTTATTAAATAATAATTACTCAGGAATAAACCATTTTTATTTCCGATCCTCGATATGATTTATTATGACTTGACGTATCCAAGAGAGAATAATTCTGAAAAATGGTAAAAATTAAAACAATAATTACGTTATATATATAGATGATAATAGTTTTTTTCTAAATATCATATCTTACATGACTAAAGATGTGTTTAAAGTTGTCCACAAATTCGAAAATGCGACTTTATAAACACCGTATCATCACATCAACCGATTTCTTGATTTTTATTGCGAACTTCCCACAGTATTGATCGAGTTTATTCTGTAATATAGGCCGTAAATACACTAATAATTCGTATATTTTTCAAATAGGATGAACACCTTTGAGTGAAATGATAGAAAACGGATCAGGTGACGTGGGCGTAATTGCTATATCGGGGTTTGGGTTTGTCTCCAGGAAGTCCAGAACGACTCTGAATATCAAGAGGCTTTCTGTTAAGTGAGTGGTGGAGGTACTTTCCTTTCTGATAAACACGGCCAGAGCGCTAATCTGATCTCTCGCCTCTGTCTAGTACCGGTATTAATGTGCAGAATAGCTTTTTTTTAGCTCCTGGCACACGAAACTACTGGTCATATTGGCGAACTGTTCTTTATTATTAGTATGTCATTCCTGGAAGTAATTTTGATGTTGAACCTTCACTTTATATTTTGCATCTTTCGTTCCAATACGTCTTTTGTCTGATGTTATCTAATCTTATAATAGCGTTCGTAACCTACCCCACACCGATCCTCTTCAGTACCGGTATTGATTTAGAGGTCGTGGACGATTTTAAATAAATGAAATAAATTGAATCAAAGTTGTGCGTCGTAAGTCGATTATCATATCAAATGAATTGTATATATATTATGTGTCATGTTTGCTAGCAGTGAAGTTAACATTATTTTAAGAGGTCCTGTTTTGTTCAATGATTGTATCAGTCATATTTAATATCATTGTATCGTATGTATTAAAATTTCATTTAGTTTAGTGTTTACTTTACCCATTAGTTTCTCTTCGTTGTCAAACAAATATTGATGAGCTTTTGCAAAATCGATTTGAGGTATATGTCCGCCGTACTCCTGTGGCAAGATGTCTGGCGTAATGAACTTGTGTAGTGAAGCCCAGTCTTGGCCATGAAAGTGGATCTGTAAGAATGCAAGAACGTCAGTTATCAGAGGAGCTCTCAGAAGCCTTGCGCAGCACGTAAAGGCAGCAGTTTAAATTATAGTGCGGAAATTATAAATTTTAAGAAAAACTGTTTTAAGTATAAATTGAGACATTATTTGGCCAACACAAATGAAGTATGTTTAAAATCATAAATTATCCCTTGTGTAAAAATTATTATCCTGACATGCTCTTTCTCAAGTGGCTATATCTTCGTCTTCTACAGATGACTCACTCACATAAGTTATACATGATAAATCAAGTTTAATTTCAGCATGGCGATAATCTGTCACATTGCGCTTGGCTTCTTTGTATTTAGTGGTTCAGTTTTGACACATTAAACAATCTTGTCTGTCATTTCGTACATAAATTATACGTCAGGATAGAAATTTAATACAAGATTCCGTGCACTGAAATATTTCTGTCCTCTGTGCTACGGTTTAAAACGCGTAATTTTTACAGTTGGGCCCAAAATGATAGATGAAAAGAAAGATACGATGTTGTATTATTTAGATGTTAACTTTATGCAGAGTTTTTGTAATAAGGACTTCCAAAAACACTTTCACATAATTAAGTCTGACTTGAAATGTCGTTAATGTGAATAATAATGCAGATGTTAATTACGTTTCGTATTTTGAGCCAGGAAATCTTACGTCTCAGTCATTTAGTGGCTGGCTACAAGCTTAAACGACTGAGATTCGATTCCCGGAAGAGATAACCCTTACGTTCATTATCGTTTTCACAAAATCCCGTCACTGTTCCCAGATCTGAGGCAGATGAACCCAGTCTACATCCCGAAACACTATTCGTTAATACAGATTGTAATGTAATCACTCCATTTACGTTTATATATGCTAATTGATCTCTTCGGGTTTTTCCAACCAAAATTTTGTATGCATTTCTCGTCTCTCCACCCGACCCGGCCGTTTCATCATTTTTAATTCGATTATCCTAACACAAAACTTCATTTCTATGTTACGTATACTGGTGAATTATTTTTGTCTAATTTCAGGATAATGAAATATCATAGTTAAACATTATACCGACATGTTGCTTTATTCTCTGACCCAATATAGGGTACAGAATGCTGACCACCGTGTCCAGTAGAGAGGATGTGTTTACCACGTGAATGTCAATGTGCTTCCATGGGCGAATCTAGAAATAGAAGCAGATATTGCCGAAACACACTGTGTAGCTTTTAATTTAATTTAAAATAAACCCTCAGTGTTAAAATGTTCTTATTCAAATATTATGCTCATATAATATTACTGTACTGTATATCTGAGTTGAGTGCGTTACGTTCAGTACTAGGGTTTATACAAAAACCGACTTTTGAAAAAAACAGTTTTCGAATTCCAGTATTTCCAAAAAAAACGGTTTTCGAATTTTTACAAAAAAATTAAAACAGTAAAAAAATATGTATACTTATTTTAAAATTGTTCAGTTTATTTAATATTCATGGAACTACAAAAATATAACAAAATAAAATATACTCCATACAAAACCAAATAAAATACTAAAATAACTAAAATCCGTACAAAATATAAATTATAAATTTTTATTTTATTTAGTATTTTTCTTCAGGAAATATGATTTCAAAAAACATAAAATGTACACTAAACGATTACTTAATCTTGTTCTTATTCTAGATACAAAATTGCCTGAAATAGAAAATACTCTCTCACTGGCTACTGAACTTGGTTTTATCTTTTTCAGGGCATCAAATAATAAATCTAAATTCTTTGTTCTTTTATTGGTTGCCTCAAATACTGAAAATTCGCCCTTCAGTTTCTTCGGATTTGATATTATTTCTTCAGGTTCCTCAAGAAACCTATGAATTGATTTTTCCATGGCTTCTTTTAGAGCATTGCCCTGATTAATAGTTTCTCCGTTTCCAATATATTCATCATCGGAATCTGTTTCCATACAAGAATTTGGATATATTCTAGACAATATTTTTCCAGATAACTAAATAATATCGAGTTTCGAAGCTAGTGGAAATACACTAGATTTCTTTGTTGGTATGTTTTGTGGATTTTGCAAATATAGCTCTTTAGCTGCTGCTCGAATCTGTGATTGATGCGTTTTATTTTTTCTTTTCTTTTCAGGGAGTCCCAAAGAGCCGTTGTTCATGTTTTGGATCAAGTTTCAGAAGCACCGTGATATTGCAAGGTAAGTTTGAATCGGTTTTACAAAGTCAGGTGAATGGTTTTAATTGATTAAGAGCTTAAATTTGTTTCTCATTAAGATTTTTTGCCCGATATTGAACGATTTTCAGTACGTCTTTATAGCTATTAGATTTCAGAGAAAAACTTAGGACTATGACTGTCGTCTAGGACGTTGCGCGGTGTAGTCTGATAGAACACCCCAACATAGAATATTCACTTGATCTTCCACACTTGAAATCGTGTTGATAGAGGCAGAGTAAAGATTTTAAATTATAATGTAAAATCACCATTTTAAGAAGATGGCCCATGACACGTCGAATTGTCTGTTAGACACAGAAATTTATTGAGAATTGTAGTCGTCTATTACCTCCTCCTTTTGCGCGCTTATGATTACAGCTTTAGGTGACAGGAACTTTAAGAGCCGCATAGGAAGACCTCCTACGTCCAGAATGAGCGCGATTCCATTCTTCTGGCTTTGTTCTTCGTCCATTACCAGTTCCATCCACAAGTCATTTAGTCTGATGCATTCCACAAGGGAAGTCGTTTTGGTATCGATGTCACCTGTCCCATTAAAGATACATTTGCTCATTACCATCATGAGTTTATTTCCTTTCTCTGTTCCTGACCTAGCCACTCTAGGTTTAGGTGAACGTGGACCTAGGTATGTTACTGGAATAGATATTATACCTAAACTCCACGGATTCAAAAATATTGTAGCTGGCTTAGCGCTTTCGAATTCCTTCCCTTCGCATTACAGAGGTAATAGCAGAGACAATTACGTGATATGAAGGGCCTTAAAATAATTATGGTTTAGTAGGCTTAAAAGTAGAATTATACAAGACATGGCCAGACCTGCTTTTTATACGTGCCCAAAGTTCTAAAAATTAGAGAAATTAAAATGAAAAGGTGTTGAAGTTTCCTAAATTCGTTTCTGAAATAAATATCAGGAGTTGCACTCAGAGATCGAAACGGAGGGGAGGGGTGATACAGACAAACTATGAATTATTAGTACTAAATACAGAATTCCATATCATAATTTTATAGTGGCAGCAGGAAGAAATTTTCAAGGTAATTTAGAATTATAGTTTACAGGGAACAAGAAATATTGGACTGACGGTAGACGGATTGGATGAAAGAACTTCGAAGGTGCTTATGATGAGTTGCGGTTTCAAATTAAGGAAGAAATATCGCCAGAGATACTGAACACTTGTGAAGCAGAACACGTGCATCGCTTAGTGAACCTGAAGCAAACTAAATTAAATCACATAGATGGCTAATAAGGCTTACCCATTTTTGCCAAAAGCAAACGTCGTCCACTGTGATCTCTATCCTGCAGAATTGTGAAGAATTTCTGCGAAAGAAGTTCCTTGTACTCCGAAGGAGATTTGCTACAGAAGTATTTCTCGTGCTTGGCCTTAAACTTGTAGAATTTCACCATCTGAAAATGAGTTTATTTTGTTCAATTTATTAATTGTTCATATGCTTGTTATTCATATATCTGGTGCGTATTTAGGTATTTGCATATAAATTTCACGTATTCTAATAACTTCTGGTCTTTAAACCCTGTAAATCATCCATTACTGTCCTTCTTGTGTTGTGTACACACCACATTACCCTTCGAAGCCCACCTGCTAAAGCGTTCAGTAATCTGTATTTTTTTCCAAAACGCGTGTGTGAGTTTCGTATTATTTTCAAAATAAACAGAACTTATTTCCTTAAATAGGATTAATTAACTGATCTTTGTAAACAAGACATGAGTTTTCTTTAAGGTAGGAACTTCATTTGTTATTATTATATAAGTGAGCTTCTACTTCAAAAGATTTATATATTTTTAGGACCGCTCCATTACTCTGTGTAGTATTCATACGATATTACATTCCTTTAATCATAAGAATGTCGATTGTGGGAATATACTTCACATTTTACTCAAAATGATTTTTATGTTCTCACCTTGTCGAATGCTTCTTTCGGATTGAACTCATTTGCCCACAAGTATCGAAGCATGAAGCTGTCATCCGTCCTCACTTTGAGGTTCCTCTCACCTGTTTATAGGGGACACTGTTAGTGACCCAGCCTACAGAAACTCATTTTCTGACCGGATTGATAATTTTGTTCAAATAAATCTAAATTATTTCCTATATAGTAAGCCTATATAACGCTGCAATATTGCTAAATTATGCCTCGTTCACACAATATTAATGTACCTTCACACAAGTTACAAGAACCTTCATTTTATATAAATATTAACAAGATGTAACTTAAAGTATCGTGGCTTTAAACTCACCTAAAACAAGTTCACGCAAAGAGCTTATAGCTTCATGAACTTTGACCTCGTCACCTTTCCTGCTGCTGTCATCATTTGGATCGTCTCCAGTGGAAGACTTTGATTTGCTTTTCTCGGACATATTTACTGCATTGCCGCTACTAACTACTACTTTATTGCGCTCGTACTGCGAACGTATTTCTCACAAGTATCGTCAGAAAAGTGCCACATGCATTGTATCTCAATTAAATTACTGCTCTGTTATCTTTCTTCGCCGTGTATTAATAGATAAAAAGTTGTTATTCATCTCAAACAAATAAGTCACTGGGATAAAATTTCTATTGATTATCGTTTCTTTCTTATTTTCGCGGTTTGCGCTCAAGGTTATTTCGATTTCATACCTGTGTTATTTTTATATCTCTTTCATTTGAAACAGTCGCTTTCAATTTTTGTCTGATCTTTTTCATCCGTGGACACTTAAATATTTAATTTTCGCTGTTTCGATTTCCCTAATATTTTTGTCCTCAGTCCAAGATTTACATCCACCAAATTCTCAAAAAAAAAATTCTCATTCGTCTGATGTTCTGTTTATCGCCTCACGCGGTAATCAGTAGCGATGCATGTTATTGCCTATGTCATGATCATCGTCATAAACTGCGAAGCTGTTAATACATTGGAAGTACATGTATAAATGTATGATATTCCAGATCCACACACATATTAAAAAGAAGTTATTTACAGTAGACATAAATTATAGCGTCCTCTAAACTGACATTGTTGTCATGTGAAAATTTCCAATTTTTTTAAAAAAAATTACTAAAATTTCTTAAACTGGCAAACTGGCCACTTTCGAAAAAGTTTGAAACCCAAAAATTCCCAAACTTTAACAAAAATTCTACACTTTTTAAGAAATTTAAAAACTTACAAAATTGGCTGTGAACATAAAAAATAAGAATTTCGGGAAATTTTCAAAATTAAAGAGAATTTCAGTTTTAAAAATTTGTAAAAATTACACAAGCATCAAAAAGTGACTAAAACTAATAAAACAAAATATTAAAACGTTTTCGAAAATACACATTTTAAAAAATTATAATATTTTTAAAAATTTCAACAGATAAAAAAATTTTGAAATTTTGAAAAAGCTCTAAAATGTAATAACTTCCAAGAATTTTGAAAATTTCGAAAGATTTCCAATTTAGAAAATGCATAATTTTCCAAAATATTCTAAGAATCTAACATAAAAAAGAATCGTTGAATTTAAAATAATAAAAGTACGTAGCCTTCATACGAATCTCGAAGGCAAACAAACAAGGTCAGATCGAGATTAGGTCAAGGTCATGGCAAGTTGAAGCCAGTGTTAGCCCAAGACTGGGCAGAATGTAGGTTATTTGGGATGGGTTAGGGTAGGTTCTGTGAGGTTATGTTGGGTTGGTTTAAGTAAAAAAGTTTGATAATTACACGAATCTGCTAAATTATCTGTGAAGGTCATGAAAATAAAAATTTGCGGAGGTTTTCAGAAATTAAAGCTCTGGAAATTACAAAAATGTTTAAAATCTTGAAGAATTACAGAAATATTTAAAATTGGCGAGTTATCTCAAAAATTAATTTTTCCCAAAATATTCAATATTTTAGGAGAAGAAGAAATTTGAAGAAATAAGATGAGTGTTGTGGACCGGGTTTAATTTTCTCATTATGCTGTCCAGCGTCAAAACACTTGAGAGCATATGTTGCATAAAGGCTTGGAATTTTTAACCAGCTGAGAGACCATCAGTTTCGTAAAACGTATTTGCGGGTTTCCGTTATTCGTAAGTGCCAGTTATTTCCATTTTATGCAATTTTTTCCTGTAATGTAATAATTTCATATAACTGCCGTATTTTCGGCCCATTCGCCTTCAAGTCTTATAATTCGTGTCTAGTGAAATAATCATGAATTTTTCATCTTTACGATGAAATTATAATGTATTGATATCAGTTGAAGGGTGATGAATAATCTCAAAACATACTTTTTTGAGGATAAATTCTGTTTTATATGCAGTTTATATGTTTGTGTGTATATACATTAAATTTGTGACTTCTGTTTGCGTATAAATCTTTGGAGTAAAGAGACGTGGAAACAGGAACGCATTGCATTAGCCTCGTTCCCTTCTTCATGTGTTTACGTATCCCATAGAAAATTGTTCTGAAAAATATTAAAATACAGTATTACGTTACAGAGAGAACTTTTTATAACCGTGAAAGTCTTGCGAGTTAAACCTTTTGAACCTCAAAAAAAGTTTTGACTACATCCTTGTAAGTTTAATGAAAGTGGATATTCATAGATATCATTCTTTACATTTTTACGTTCAAGCCCCTTACTTACTTCCACTTACCCACAAGTTTTTCTGAATTTTCGTAAAGAATCTTCCGTAGTTCAGTGTAATCCAGTCTAGGAATATGGCCCCCATATTCTTCAGGCAAGATTTCAGGGTTGATGTGTTTATGAAGCGAATGCCAGTCTCGATTATGGAAGTGAATCTGTTTATACCAAAATTACATTAATCGCATAACAAGCTGGGAATTTTAGAATAAATGTGGCTGCTTATTTTAAATCCGTCATCAGGGCGATGAATCGCCCTGATGACGGAGGCAGTATGACCTCTGAGACGTTGGTTAACATCGACCAGACTACACAGCGCAACAACCCAGAAGACAGAAATCTTCATACTCACCGCTGTGAAAACCTCAAATCATAATAGTTGAAGTTTTCCACCTTTCTTGGAAGCAAAAGGTTCATTACCGTGTACATCAGAGTCAGCCAGTGGATCCTATCCTAAGCCAGAGGAATCCAGCCCACATCCTCAATCCCGATATTCCTAAGGTCAATTTTTAATATTAATCTCCAAAGAAAAGTTAAAAATCGAGGGTGGTAAAACATCATCTTTTTTACACTATTATTTATAGAAAATGAATCTGAAAAATACTTATTCACACAGACTTTACTCCAGGTTTAATTTAAATGCATTTTAATTAGTCTAAATAGTTTCATTAGTATATCCAGCCCAAGAATAATGCTGTAATAATTAAATTACATGCTTTCTTGAAGTACATAAATAGCTGATGTACGCTTGTTGTAATCTCGTTTTCCCCCGGCGTCTGGCAAATGCAAAGTATCTGCTCATTTGTGAATCGATTGTATCGATATCCTCATTGATGACCCTCAATAACTTCCTTTGCCTACGCATCCTGCATGAAATGTCTTCACCTGATACTCACGTGTTCCTTCACTTTCGAGTCTAGGAAAGGATATACGATCGCTATTGAAGT